GTGTGCTAATGCCAAAATAACTGCCACTTCGTTGGCACAGGCAGTCGGTGGCTTCCGTTTCCATTGACTCCAACTGGCATCACCCAGTCCCCAGTACAAGGCAGGTTTGAATGTGTCATATAGTGCATGCACAGCCTCTGCATCTTAGCAGCATGGATAAGAATCTGATCGGAAGACCTCGTCTGCAGCAGCTGTTGACCCGACATCCGGGTCCGCGATTTGGTGGGCCCCATGGGTATGCTTGAGGACCGACAACCGGCAGACTGTGCATAAACCACCAGTGATTCCAAATGCTGATTAGCTAGGCACGTGGCCCCCCCCCCAGGTTTTAGAATGCACCTGTCCGAAATGTCGCCGCAATCACACAAATATTTTTGATAGTTATCTGGGGCATTTATGACGCGTGTTCTGGGCCCTCTTGTGCCTGCAGGGCATGATCTCATACATAAGAGCATGCAAAGTGAGATTTGAGCTGGCCTAGTAGGCTTAACTATGACCTAGCAGCACTTAATTTATTGCTGATCGCAAGATATTGTTGAGCCCCATTTGCTACTTTTTCCGCGAGACCCTATCTTTCTCAGCTTGGAAACGGCAGGGGGAGGGGGATCGCATCAGCCTATCATTCCGCCATCAATCCTCTTTGTGAAAACGGCAAACTAGGGTGAGGGTAAAGCGCTCCGCAGCACGGCGCCAGTGCTTCCCAGCCCTGTGACACGTAGCCTCTCCTGTGCTGAAAACACGGCCACCCTGGTGTTGGACAGCTGTTCCTATGCCGACACGCAGCCTCTCCGTGATGGACACACGGCCGCCCTAGTGCACGACAACTGCTCCTGTGCCGGGGATGCGGCCTCTTCTGTGCCGGACACGCGGCCTGCCTAGTGCCAGACACACAGCCTTTCGGGTGCCGGACGGCCGCTCCTGCCGGACACGTGGACTCTCTTGTGCCGGACACCCAGTCGCTCCTGCCAGACGCGTGGACCCTCTTGTGCCGGACACCCAGTCGCTCCTGCCGGACACGTGGACCCTCTTGTGCCAAACACCCAGTCGCTCCTGCCGGCCACGTGGACCCTCTTGTGCCGGACACCCAGCCACTCCTGCCGGACACGTGGACCGTCTTGTGCCGGACACCCAGCCGCTCCTGCCGGACACGTGGACGGTCCCGTGCCGGACACCCAGCCGCTCCTGCCGGACACGTGGACGGTCCTGTGCCGGACACCCAGCCGCTCCTATGCTCCTATGCATCATTGGGACATTCCACAGTCCCAGTGTTCGATTGAGCGGACTGACGGTTCGATCGACGTTCCATTGAGCGGCTCACCGCCGCTGTAATGAGGTACTGGCGCCGCACGCTCTGTTCAGATGCAGAGCATCATAATGGCACAGTGCGCGCTAATGAGACAAGCATTTCGCGCCTTGTTCCATTTTTACGAAGGCCTTGTTCCATTTTCTTTACGAGCCTACGACATGATCATTTGGTTCTAGGTCCACAGCTAGAACGTGCGATGTGCTGTTAGCATAACAATAACACGATAGCGGACAAATACTATGGGCGGCTATGATATGTAAGCTGCCCAAATGTTTCTTTAAAAGTCACGATCTTTTCCCACGAGCGGCGCTGAAATCCGAATTGCTGCGGAACAATAAACATGGTCGTCATGTAAAAGAATAGTCTCAGCGCCCAAAATCCGAAATAATCAGCCAATCCCTCTGAGTATGGATCGTTACGTGAAGATTGAGTACCATCCATGTAACCCAGACCATGAAATAGGTTATCAGTGTTGGATTCCTGACCATCGGTTCTGAATTCGAGTCAATATTTCCAAAGCGCGCATTGCTAAGGCCCACAGATATACATTTTGATAACCATGGAAAAATATAATGCTCTATTTCAGGCATTGCAGTTATACACACAAGCCACAGCTGTGAAATGAAACAATACAGCTATTCTCAAATCAAAATGACGTAGTCTGTAACATAAAAAATGCACAATCTGATATCCAAGCAGTGTTGAGTGATTTTTAGGGATGGATCAAACCCTGCACAACCGATGTATCCGGCGGGTATGAGCCTGCTGCTCCTGCCACTCATGCGCTAAGACCCGTGTCCTAACCACCGGTGCTTTTACCATGACCAGATATGATGCAGTGTCAATGAAACTTTCGAAAATGCACGTAAAATTATACTGCAACAGGTTTTGGTAAGTTTTGCTCCTGGTGAAAGTCAAGGACGTCCAAATTTGGTCGGTGACAGAAAAGACACTTCTTTCACCCCTGCGACTTCTTTTCGTTGACCGACGATTCACTGACAATACTTAGCCCTGTTTGTTTCTATAGCCTTGGATAAGACCTCGAGGCAAACTAACGCAAAATACTGCGAGCTGGGTAAAAGTTGAAAAACCACTGAATAATGTCATGCAATAAAACTAGACCATAGTCGGCCAGACATAATTTTGTGCTTAAAAGTCATGCAGCATGTAAAAACATAACATAATCAGGTGAATACTGCATAAGCGCGGAGTTCTAAGAATGACTACCTTAATTGCTGCACTTAACTGCACTCGTCGTGGTTACACTGCCTTTCTTTTTTTTCTGTGAAATGTCTCCAAGCTTTGTTTGGAATTTTTTGCTGCAGTTTTAAATATGTTGTGTACACTTTATCTGCATAAGGTTGGGGACGGAGCAAACTCACCGTAAGGGGGACGGGGTAAGTCCGACATCAGGGGAGGGGCAGTGGTACACTCAAAAGGGTACAAATCGACACCCGTGCGAAGCAAACATCTTTATGTCAATTCCACGAATTTTGTATCCACCATGATGGGAGCCATATGAATATTGTCAGTAGATATGAACTATGTAATGATCGCAGCGTGCGACGTAAATATTTGACGAGTAGTGCGTTAGCGTGGCATGTGCGTCACTAAACCAGCTGGTATGTCGCTTGCTTACACCTGCTTCACAAACGCAACTTTGGACCAGACAAACGTTCAAATAAACAATGCTCCCCAAAACCGAAATAAACTTCGCGTCCAGCGTCACTGTGTTACGCGCCATAGGGGAGAAGTCATTGCTATGGTGCAACGCATCGCTGAATTCGCGTGAGAATGACCTTATGTTTGGATATTCAGTTTAATAAATAGTGGGTTTTAAGTTCCCAGACCATTCACACCACCAATATTTTGGCGAGTTGGTGTGCTGAGATGTAGTATTTTACACACGTTGAAGAATCCGAACAAAGACTTACTACTTTCATAGTGGTGAGAAGGGATCACAATGAGATTTATCCCGTTGAGTGGCTGCTTCAGGTAAAAATTATAAGCTGTTCATAAATATTTCGAAAGGCTGATATTTCCAATCAAATCGAACCGATGTGATCACACTATGCAGGAAAAGTGCGAACAGGTGGAATGCTGGCGCCGTGGTGGTGGCGGGTATCTACGATACTTTTCATCACGGTGGTAAAAATCCGCTTTGCAGCTCATTACTCTTAGTAATTTCCGAGCGAAATATTTGA